CAATTTGGAAAATCTCGTCATGTTAATACAGAAGATTCGAAAACGCCTTCAATTGAGGCGTGATACCTCACGCGTTCCGGAGAGTTCAAATAGTTGTATCCCTGCGCCTTAGCAAGGCGATGGAATTTTAATATTAAAGTAGCGTCCCCGCTTGGTTTTTCGGTTTCCCTGCGCTGCTCCTGTAGTTTCGACCGTTAAGGCCGTTGTTTAAGGGCGCTAAAGCCAGGATTGTTCATCGCAAATGGATAATTTTTGCAGAATAATTAAAAATTAAGAAGTAGGAGTAATTGAACTAAATAATAAAAGGAACTCAAATCAACAATATAATGCAATACAATTTGGAAAATCCCGTCATGTTAATACAGAAGATTCGAAAACGCCTTCCATTGAGGCGTGATACCTCACGCGTTCCGGAGAGTTCAAAAAGTTGTATCCCTGCGCCTCAGCAAGGCGATGGAATTTTAATATTAAAGTAGCGTCCCCGCTTTGTTTTTCGGTTTTCCTGTGTATACGTTGTTCTCAGGGCTCCTGCACTTTCTTTGTTATACTCACAGAACATTTCTGTTGTGAGAACAGAACTTCGGTCGTGAACATAGAGTACTCTGTCCTTATGGTGACGGAAATGATTTTAATGATTCAATTTTAATGATTTTTTGCCTATTAGAGGTCTAAACTTTACGGAGAGCATCGGGATTTGTTCATTATCGGTCTCTTTTTGGGTCTAATACTGGCCTAAATATGGGTCCGGCCGATTTTTGGCCGATTCCGGGTTTTATGAGTTTGCAGTTGATTCCCAAAAAGTCTTTTTTTTCTCCACAATCATCTCTCAGATCTGTGTTTAGGCCAGTATTAGACCGGAAATGACCAAATCAGGTTGCACCAAAACTTGGTTGAAATGTTCGCAAAAAGTTAAGGAAAATTATCTCCCGAAAGACAAGGCCCCCATTCACGGATCCGGTCATATTATCTTTCGTGTTTCTGAGTGAATTTCCTCAACTTAATGATTTTTTGCCTATTGGAGGTCAATACTCTACGGAGAGCATCGGGATTTGTTCATTGTCGGTCTCGTGGAGTGATTCTTCTCATCGGAAATTTCGCGTTTTGATTTTCCCGGCTCGAACGGGAGCCGACTCGACGCTTCGGGAGTCCCGGGAACGCAATTAATTATCAGTCACTACAAAGCACTTCGGTGCGCTTCAGTTCGTCTCCTCGGATTTACGCTGCTCCTTAGTCCTCACCGCAGACATGCACAGCCAACAAGCCGGGGAACATGATTTCGCCATCCTAAAACCGCGCATCTCGTCCAGTTTCCCGTTGGGAGTTGAGCGGTTTCTGCTCAGAGTAGCATCGCCGCTCTTGACTCTGGCAGGACAGCTCGGCCTTGGCATTTCAAAGGTATCCCGCACTACGCTATGGACACTGTTTACGTCTTAATCTACTTCGAGTACCTCGTTGCCGGCGCTCATGATCAGACTCGAGTTACGCGCGGAAATTTCATCGATGCGGAAATGTTTATCTCCTGATGGACCACTGGCAGGGTGCACTGAAAAAAAAGTATGGTAACATCTACTATAAGTCTACTTGATTTTTTAAACAATGATACAATTGAGTAAAAATAACCAGAATTTTAGTAGTATTTACTTGAACTCTGGTGATACTTACCATAATATGGCAAATGCCACCATAGGGTCTGGTGTTGACTACGATACACGGGTCACTGTGTCAGAGTATGGTAAAATCTACCATAATTTTTTTTTCAGTGTGGCATGAAACGTAAGAAAGACATGAAATATTGGAAATTCCAGTGGAATATTCCGTGAAATTTCACGAGGCTGTAAATGTTTCATATATTTCAGAGATACAGTATGCAACCCGCACTAAAACATACAAAAATAGAGGAAAGTCACGATAGTTACCTTTTACGATACATGAAAAGGAGCCGGTATTTTTCAATGTCTTTCATAAATTTCTGAAATTTCATGAAATATTTCAAAAAGATTTCAAGTTTTATTATTCATGACATTTTGCTACCCTGACCACTGGAAAGGGTCCAAAATGTTGCGCTACAATATATTCTTCATTATTGGAATTTTACCTAGGATATCATGGACGAATGGGTCAGTTGCGCTGAGCACAGAATCGTGTTTTGATGCTTGATTCTTGTAGATAAGCTAAACATAATAAGAAGTATTCGCCTAACAGTCAGCGAAATATCTGAAGCGGGCCCACGATTGCTACCATAGTTCCAAGTACAAAAGCTTATTTGGACTTCACTTTGCGTTATAAACTTACAACGAAAAATTTGCAGGTGTCTGAAATTTTGTAAATTCCATGTTTAAAATGAAACTGCTAAGAAACCTGAGCACGAGGATATCTTTGGTTCCTAAATTTAACGATTATTGGAGGAAATATGACAGAATAACCTAATTTGCCAGAATATATGTGTTTAGATGGAAAATGCCACCATAAGACGTCATAAGATGGGACATGTCCTCAATATTAAATCTATTAATTTTTTTACGATTTCCCATTTCAGAAAGAAATTATGAAGCATACTGCAAAATCAGCTTTTTAAACACTTTCAGATGAAGCAATAACGTTATTTTTTTGTGCAAAGTCACCATTTCTGGCTTGATTTGAAACAACGTACGTTTATTTAATTCCCTCGAGTACCTAGGTGTCTTCATGGATGAATTAGAGGTAGTAGTTCCTCATGGCAAAATGTCGCCCATTTCTATAATAATCACTGGAAAAAAACAAATTGGATCTAGAGTCCAGACTCTTAAAAACATCGACAAGAAAAAGTACTCTTGATTCAATCAGAATCTAGCTTAGATCAAGAACCAAGCCTCCTAATTTAAGCGGAATTCGTTTTGATTCAAACAAAAATCTGATATGAATCAAGAGTATTTTTTCTTGCCAATGTTTTCAAGAGTCTGGATTCTAGATCAAATGTGTTTTTTTTTTTTTTTTTCCAGTGATCTCTTCGGAATAAAATCAAGACGAAAATTGATCTTTTACCGTCAGAGAGTAAAATCGTGTCTCTGAGATACCGATCCGGTCGGATCGAACGCCGTAGCTATACAACATGACCTCCCGCGGAACGGGACGGTTGAGTCATGCCGAAGAGGAGATGGGATCGCGGTTTCGGTGATAAACGAGACATCCGTGAGTTGCAGGTTGCGTCATCAATCATGAAGGCGTTGCAGACACAAGCCGAGGGGAAATTAATTTGTCCGATCACATTCAAGCGGGCATGACACCCAGTTCACTTTCGCGGACAGATTTCGCACGGATATCCCATCCACCCCGACCGCTAACGCCTCTATCCGATTCAGACCGCTCCTAGAGCAAGCTGTTCTAGGGTTGCTCGTTCCAAATGCGAGTTTTCGGTGGAGCATCACTCACCCGCTTTACCGTTCTAAGGAGAAACGCCGTATGAACATTCGAGAGTGGCCAAATTTCCTCCGATAAAATGTGTTTTTTTTTTTAGAAAAATTATGAATGTTTTTCCTTGACATTTTCAGGAGCTACAAATGAAATCGCGAGTCAAAATTATCTGAACAATTGGAGGGAAAATATTCATAAGTTGACAAGGAAATTCGTGTTTTATCCAGGAAATTTGGCAACGCCTGAAGGGTCATACGGCGTTTTTCCTTAGCACGGCAGCGCTGTCGACAGCGGCGTGGCATGCTTTGCGATATATCGATTGATCTGCCATTAAAGCAAATGTAAAAGGATCGATATACTGGGTATTCGTATTGAAAATCTTAAAAATCGATTCTTTACCGCAGCTTCGAATGGGAAAATATCGATAATCGCTCATTCACGCCTAGCCACTGGCTACAAAAGTTTCGATGTCTAAGTGCAGAAAAGAGAGTATTTGTCAGATCCTCTGCAGGGCGATTGTTGAATCCAGTGGCATGGCGTTTTTTGCGATAAATCGATTGTTATGTCATTTACACCTATGGAAAAGGATCGATAATCACCTTAATAATCTATTCTTCAGCATAGGTTTAAATGGCAGAACAATCGATGCATCACAAGGCACTCCACGCCACTGGTTAAATCGTTATCGAATGACCTTGCTCGATATATAGCATTGTAAAGTAGGGAGCTATCAATTGCTCATTCGATAACGATTCAACAATCAACCCGCTGATTTCTCCTGGCTTATTTCAGCAAGTTGGCAACGGTGTTAACACTCCCTTTAAATCAGTTGAATATATAGATTCTAGGTGATTTTTCAAAGTGATTATAATTTTTCATATTCGTAGTTACAATGTTGCGCTTGTAATGAAAGTTACTTC